TTTGTTTAGTTTTTCCTAGATAAAAACAGGTTCTTCTATGAACAAGGAATTGTGAAGCTCACTGAAAGATGGCAAAAGGTTATTGAATAAAACAGGCAATATATCATTGATTGATCTTTGTTTTTTATATAAATAAATGACCTTTGAAAAACATAGACAAAATATATCATGACTTTTCCGACAATCCAATATACTATGAAAAGTGAGTGTTTAATTTATTCAAAAGATACTTCAGTCTGTTTCAAAGATATTTGTTTAGATACCATTATATAAAATAGTTAATTTTACTGATTATATACAAACATAAATGAGCAAGTCTTTGACATGGTTATAGAAATTGGGTCAGAGATTATAAGTAGGCTCACAATTGTGAAGACCATACATATATTAAGACTACTTTGATTTTTTTTAATGTATTTATAGCTCTTCACATTATTCTTAGCTATGCTCACCTCACAAATCTAAAAATAAATATTTTAGTAGCATCCCATAATATTGGCTTGTCGGAAAAGTCATGACATATTTTTTCTATATTTTTTGTTGCAAAAATGCATCATGACTTTTCCGACAACCCAATATATATTTTAAACCTAGAACCTTAAATGAGCCCTTGTAGGACTTAATGATAAATTATTTTCTGAGATTTAAACCTTCCTGCATTCACAAAAATTCATTGCTATAAGAAATGGACATAATGGGCAGGTCACAAATTACTAAGCATGAGTTACTATAACCAGAAAAAAATATTGTTCAGAAGGGCACCTGAAGAAAAGATACCTTGTAGAAGGAGAGAGTGCTATTATACGGACATGGATTCTGTCAATTAAATTATACTCCTTTGTTCATTCTCTCTCTCTCTTTCTCTCTCTCTGCCTCTCTCTGCCTCTCTTTGTATCTCTCTATTTCTGTCTGTCTCTCTCTGTCTCCTTGTCTCTGTTTCTCTGTTTCCCTCATACACACACCTACCAAAACACAGACACCTAATTCCCCTTTCCCTTTTCTGCTGCCTTACAGATTTGAAATTACCAATAACGTTTATAAAATTTTTAATAAAGAGACTAAGTCCAAGTTCCTTAGCATAATTAAAGCTCTTCACTCATCACATGATTTAGTCTCTTAATACCGAACTTCTTCTCCATGTGGTAAAAATTATATATGTTCATTAAAATGAGGTCAAGTAATTCAGAACTACTATACTGTCATATCAAAATAAGCATTGTTTATATCAGATAATTATCAGTCTAGACATCTCTATAAGCATATATGCAGGTAGAAAAAGACATAGCTATAAATTTGGTTGGTTAACTAGAACAACAATTATGTTTAGGAAAACGGATTGTGATATGTATGTTACTTTAATTGAAATATTAAATTTAATTCTGTTTTGATTTAAGAAAAAAGTTAAATGGAAATTGAAGCAATTGATGAACATCAGATAATAATTTTTAAAGATTCATTTAAAATTAACAAGAAGATTGTGGAAAATATTACTAATTTAACGCCACTAGGTTTTAAGCTACATTTTAATATCACACAGTATAGATTGAGTCCTTGATATGAAAACTTGAGAAGATAGGCAATTATGATGATAATTATATGAATTATATGAATTATAATTATATGAATCACCTCATTTAAAAAAATCTTTAACAGTCTGCAATAATTACATTCAGCTTTTCAATTATATTCTCACCATTTTTATTATTTAATAGCATTCAATTCTCTCTTCTTGTCCTTTAAACACAGTTCTTCCAATAATGCCTGGGTTTATTACTTTTTTAATTTTTAATTTGTTCAGTCTTTGTGTGTGAGTACCTGTGTGTGTGTGTGTGTGTGTGTAAAAACCTCATGGCAGTTGTACTACCTAGTTTTTTTGTGGGTTTTTTTTACATTTAAGAATGCTTTCATTATTTTTGCTTCTTTTTTTATATATACATAAATAGTATCTTGGCTGGTTATATCTTTATGGCATACTTTCTTTCCTTTACAAATTTGTAGACATTATCTGCTAACTTCTAGTTTTGATTGCCATTTTGGAAAACTCAAGCTGATTAAATTTCTCTTTCTTTCTTTCTTTTTTTTCTTTTTTTAGGGCATTTGATTTTGTGGACTGAATAACAGAAGAAAAATTATTCTTTATTACTGATTTTCAATATCTTAATGTGGATATGTTGTTATGCTGGTCATTTATATCTACTTTTTCCAAAATATGACTTGATCTTTCAAACCTTGTATTCTGCTCTTCATTCTTTTTAGAAAATTTTCCTGAAATATTTTCAACATCTTTTTATTCATTTTAAGAGTTTTAACCTCAGTGATAACAATTATTCTTATGTTGGCCTATCATTGCCCTATATCTATTATTTTCTCTGTAATTGTTTGGTGTTCTTGGTTTTACATTCACTTTGATTATCTTAAACTTTTCCTCTGTCATTAATTTCATTTTCAGTTTGTCATACTGCTAGTTAATTATTAGTTCTGCAATGCTATCATTTTAAACCAGTTATTTATTAGCTTTTTAATTCCCTCTTTATCCCACTCTATGTTATTATTTATTTGAAGTTGATAGCTAATTCATGATATTATTAAAGTAATCAGTAATGCATAAACTAATGATGAGATATTTTTTCTCTTCCAAAGATAATTTTATTCTGTAATAGATTCCTTACATCTCTCCTGAGATATGTATACCAATGTATACCATTTTCAAGACTTATTTCATTGCTTAGATATGACAATTGTCTAACTGCTCTGATATAAGGTGGATTACTTTTCCTGATCAACAGATATGAAATATGTTTTCTCTGTTTTAAAGATAAAGCTCAGCTGTGACAGCAGTTTTGCATACATGTGTGCACATGTATGTGTGTATGTGTGAGAGAGGGACAAGACCATATTTCTGTTCTTTCTTAGGAGATTTTATTAAAGACACTACATGAAATTTCACCCAACCTTGATATTTATTCTACCAAAATTGGGAATGCCCTCAATTTCTGATCATTCAGTCAACTGAGTTTGAAGGCCATTGAATTTTTATTTCTGTCAGATTGAGTAAAACTCTGTTCTTTAACTCTTACATGTTAAACCTCTCTCCACACAAACACTAATTTTCTTCTCTCCAAATTCAGAGACATTGGTGATGAATCTTAGAAATTTTTTGAACTCCCCAGAATTATTTTTGATAAGTGGGAGTAGAATTATGAGCTTCTTGTGCTCCAAAAAAATCTTTAGTTTCTTGCATCAATAGATTCCTGTATTTGTTTGAAGAGTATCACATTAGTTTGTAATCTTTGTGGGGTGTCTCTTATGTTTTTTGTTTGTTTGTTTATTAGTTTTTGTTTTGTAAAGAAATTTTGGTATGTTTATTTGTCTTTTTGTACTGTATTTTATTATTTTAAAAGTGACAGTTTATTTCACCATACATGGGAAAGATTTTTATGACCTACATACATTCAAATATCTTTACTCAGAATTTACTTCCATGTGATTTATAATAAACATATACATGTGATTTTTATATAGAATTCTATAACAATGTCTTTGAAACTTGATGAGCTTCATATAAATGCTGAAGTTTTCTGATGGGTGTGTTGGTTGGGGTTGTGTGTATTTTATGTGGGGTTATATATATGGGAGTGACATCTATGTGTGTGAAAGGATATGTATATTGGTATGGGGGCTATGTGTGCATATACATACATGAGTATACATATGTGGAGGTCTCCCTGTGTGTGTGTGTGTGTGTGTGTGTGTGTGTGTGTATGAGAGAGAGAGAGAGAGAGAGAGAGAGGTTGAATTTACATGATTGTGGGGGCTGGCTAATACCAAAATTATAGGCAGTTCAATACCTTGGAAATTCAGGTAAGAGTTGATTTTGTTTTCTTGGTCTGGAAACTACATTTCAGGACAGCAGGTTAGAAACTCATGCAGGATTTTTCTGTTGTAGTGTTGAGGCAGAATTTTTTTCATTGGGAACCTCAGTTTGTGTTCAAATGATTGGATAATGCCACACATGTTGTGGAAGGTGATGTGCTTTACTCAAAGTATACTGATTGTAAATGTTAATGACATTTAAAAAATGACTTCACGGCAAAGACTGGGTTAATGTCTAACCAAAAAATGGGGCAGCAATGCCTAGCCAAATTTACACATAAAATGAACAGTAATGCTTTGTGATAGCCACATTTTAATGATGCAGTCTTGAGGCACATCTTTTCTGAGACTCAGTTTTCTACTAGTAACATGTACCTAATGACACATGTACTACAGTATAGAGCATATATGATACATAATATATACTATGCATATGTGTATACATAGTATATACATATATTGGGTTGTCAAAAATGTCATAATGCATTTTTGCAATGAAAAACATATAAAAATAAGTCACGACTTTACCAACAACCCATTATATAGTGTATACATTTAATATATAGTATATATTTTATATTACTATTATGTATATATGTGTGTGTGTATATATGTGTGTATATATATACATATATATGTATATCTATATATGATAGTAAATACAGAGGGTGCCAAAACATAGATACACATTTTAAGAAAGGAAAAAACTGTGTCAAAATTATGCTGATGGTAACCACTTTGAGCACCTCTTGTAATTGCAGAAGTCAAACGTGATGTATTCACCTTCTGTTTTGGTATATATTGAGTATTACAATTTTAATACAGTGTTTTCCTTTCTTAAAATGTGTATACATTTTTTGGCACCCTCTGTATATAGTCTGTTTCTTATTCCCTTTTTCTTGCATGAATACAGAACTGCTACTCATTAGCTGTGGAATCCTAGTAATTTCTCCCTTATTAGTCTTCAGTTTTCTCACCTGTAAAATGCAACATATTGGAGTAGAAGTCCTTGAGTTATGTAAGATCTGTAATGTTTAATCAGCCTATGGTGTCACTGCTTCAGTGATATTTGTGTATCCCACCATTCATAAAACTCCTAACTAATCTCTGTATTTGTCTGTTGACAGAAGGAATGTTGCCATCGTATGACACTAATGATCAGGCAAGTAGGTTCTCATTTTTCTATTAGTGGTAACAGTTTCAAGCCTGACCATTCACAGTGTATTGTCTACTTGTCCTGGTGATGGAAGTCATCTATTCATGGGGTATTAGGTACATACCCATGGAACACATTTTTTTTTTTAAATTTCACTGCAAATGCACTGGCCAGGATTAGGACTGGGTGACATATATGAGCCCTTCAGGATGGGATGTACCTGAACATGAGAATGTATGAATAACAGAAAAGTAATCTCAACCTTTCATAACAGGGTTATATTCGGATGCAATTGTGTACCACTTCTAGTGTTTTCATTTTACTAGTTAAAACATAGCCACAAAGGGCCGGCTGAGTGGCTCAGTTGGTTAAGAGCTCGCTCAAGAGTTTGAGCTCTGAGCAACAGTGGTTCGAGTCAGCCCGAGCTGAGCAGCTGTGTGCTGCCAACAGGTGGCGGGATGGCTCAGCTAAAACAAAACAAAACAAAACAAAACAAAACAAAACAAAAACAAACAAACAAAAAAAAAACATAGCCACATAATCTCTCCATAGTTATGCCTCTAAATAAAATTGTCATTTGAAATAGACATGTTACAAAAAATGTCAACCTGCACCTGATTTACATATTCCATTTGTGTGTGTGTGTGTGCTCAGAGTCAATTTAGGTCTGACTAGGCTCCTGTGACTGATTCAGATGGGCAGCAATAGAATATCATTGCCAAAGTTTCTCCTGGGGTTCCTTAGCGTGTTCCAAATCAGTCTCTTTATATTAATAGCCAACAGGGACATCAGCTGTGCAAATAGGTTTTTCATGAGCCCACTTTGGCATCAAGTTAGAGAATGGAAACATAAAAGAAGCTTGAAATATGTAGATACTTAAGTAGCACTAAAAATATCTGTAAACAAGTTTGTATTTCCTGAATTAAGAGTATCTATATCCTGCAGAAAATACATCTAAATGAACATACAAGTATCCACTTATCAGTTTGTGCATTAGAGAATGTTTTTTTCCTTTTTGTTTTATTCCCCCAACACAATATAAGTGGATTTATCTGCCATAGATATGAAGGTCTGTAGAGAAGTTCTTATACTATGTCTTTTCTTTGTTAATGGGGTCTAGTGAAGTTGACTACACCCAGTCAACCAATTAAATAAATAAATGTTTTATGATGATGGAAGCCCTAAATTCTTCCAACAAAAGAGCATTTAATAACACTTCTTTCAAAGGTAATTTGTGCCCAGAAGTGAAAACATACCAATTGGCAGGTGCAGTTCAAGATCACTTCCTTCTCATGTGTTTAGCGTTTGGTTGCGATGCTGTGTTTACAGAATACCAATTTCCTAACCAACAATTCTGTTTCTAAAGCTACAGTATATGGTTCATACAGGCATAGAATATTTGAGTTGTGAGTAAACCAATACTCAGAACAAATTGTAAATGTACTCCCACTCATTAGAAAACATCACATTGTGGGAAACTGGTAAAATGGGGAAAAAAAGTGATTATTTAAAAATTATCTTGTGCTATTCCTCATTGAAATTAGCAAGCTATTGGTATTTCTTTTAAAATGTATTAGATATTTGAACTGCATGAATTATATCAAATGTTGAAAATATTTTTTGTTTTCATTTCATAACCTGTTATTTTATATTCCCATAAATCTCACACAAAAAAAATCCTAAGAGTATGAAAAAGTCAACATAAATAATATTTTTTTTACCTCAGGAATGGAAACAAAACAAAACAAAAAACATTGCAATTATCTTTTATCCCAAATCTCTATTTTCAGGAATTCAAATAGAAGAACTTCTGTGAGTGATTATATTTATTAGAATTTATTAAATTAAGTACAAGCTACATATGCATAGTGATAACCGATTTCTTCAAAGAATAAATTAAGTTACCCTAAGGACAATCATCCTTTCTGCTGAGGAATACACATTATTTCATATCTATGCATAATTGTATTGATTTTGTTGGTAGCTGTTCCAATACTCAGCCCTTGCCTATGCGTTTTTTGAGGTACTAGAAGTTGAGGCAAAGCAGACAATTGATATGCTGGATTTGCCCCATTATTAGAGAATATTTGTGTGTGTGTATGTGTGTGTGTGTGTGTGTGTGTGTGTGTGTGTGTATGTTGATATGTATGGGAGAGCTTGCTATTTACTTTGAGCATTTTTCCCTGAGGTAAAAGCATTATTATAATTTAGAAGCAAAATAGGTTTCAGTGTTTCAATGTTGAGATTAACAGAATTGGATGATGTACATGGAACTGATAAAACTATCTTCCTGGAAACCTCTGTCTCTGCGACCCTGTAGATGCTGGAGTAAAGGAACCAAAAAAATGTTTGCTTATAAATGGGGAGATTTCTCCACTTTCAGGAGGCACACTGATAGGTGTACTCTGTCTCTTGATGGAACAATGCACAAAGGGGAAAAAAAAGGCTGGGAACTTTAGATACAATGATCATATAATCTAGGATCAAGCTGGATACTTTTGAGAAGAAAAGGATGGTTTTATTAATAAACAGAAATAAACCAGGACTGACAACTGGTCCACATTGACTTATTTGCTTTAGACAACTAGGAGGCTCATGGGCATTTGAAAGCCTGGTGATGAGATGCACAGATGTCCTTCTGCATCATAAAGTTTTCAGTGCTCAGCCTTTTGAGTTGAGCACAGAGATTTAACTTGGGTTTACTCAATTTAATTCCTGGTCCCAGCACTTGCTAAATGTTCAACTTTGGGCAAGTTACTCAACATCTTTTCACTTTAATCTTCTCACTGAATAATGGGGATGAGAATAGTAATTATTCCTGGTATCATGGGGGTAATTTCATAAGATTTCATAAATAAGGCACTAAGAACAGCACAAAGCATCAATTGTTCAATCAACAATAGTTACATCTACCAGAATACTTTTTTTTTGGTGGTTTTATTATTGGTAGTAGTTCTGCAATAAGAGCTTTAGATTGAGAGTCTAGTCTCCAGGCTGACCTCATCAAAAGTCTCTGAGTGTTCACATTTACCACTATCGCTGCTCCACTGTAATTCATGAGGATTTTTGTCTTCACTACCAAAAAGCCTGAGTAAATCTTTTAAAACCTTCCGGTGCCTATCCATCATACCTGAAGTAAAATCTGAGTCTTCACCTACAAGGCCTGTGTACAAAAAGTAGGAAATATCTAATTTCCTATTCCCCTTTCCATTGTTCAGCTCTGCACATAATACCCTTTCTTCTTTCAGGTTTTTGAAACATGCTACGTTCACATACCCTTAGGGCCTTTTCACTTGTTCTCTCAGGCAGGGACTCTATTTATCAGGTGCCCAAACTAGTCACTACAGCCAGGCCTCTGAAGTAATCCCCTTCTGAGTGAGGACTTCCCTGACCCCCTTCTGACCACTCTCTGTTCCTTTACCTTGCTTTATTTTCCTTTGTAGCATGTGCCACGCTATCCAATATTATGTGTCTGTGTATTTTCTGTCTCCACCATGAGAATGTAAGTTGGTTTTCCAACTTACAAATAAGCTAGAAAAAGTAGGTTTTTTGGGGAAGGTATAATTGATTCCTAGGAAAGCTTTTCATCACATGCCGCAAAGTTGTATGAACCTTCATCCCAAATCACCCATATTGAAAACCTGCTTTCTCGTACATTGTTGAGCATCATGTTCAGGGAACTTGGAACATGGTAGATGCAATAAATAGTTGTTGTCTTTTCCAGCTGAATGAAAATGGCCATTAGCTCTATAATCATTTTAAAGGTTTCAATAAGCCCAACAGGCATTTTAATAAGTTGCAGTTGTTGTCTGCCAGGTTTTCTGTGTTGAAATCAGGACTCGGCTCCCAATGGAGAAAAAAGGAATGAAATGTAGTTGATTTAAATGACTATGTACCGAAAATTGCTTTTCCTCTCACTGTCTATCTTGCAGACTTCAGGGAAAAAAAGTAATTAAAACTAAAAAGTACAATATTTCAAATTTAGCAGAATGAAGACACTTTTAAGATCCAAACACAGGAGGCTAATAAAAAGATTTTCAATGGATCATCTAGTTACTGGTTCAAATATTGCCCAGTTTTGGATTATTGGATGTTACCATCTGTTGTTTGTTTGACAGTTTGTGAAAAAGGAAGCATTGACTCCAGTGTTTCTTGAGCAAACATTTGAAAACCATTATAAATATTTGTATTCTGGCGAGCAGGCTCAAGAGAGACCGTGGCACTTTTGTACAGAGTAGCTGTTCTTTCTGAGAGCACTTGAGCCATGTCAATGACATTGCTAATGCAGACATCACTCTCCTGTTAGAGAAAGCTCTGTCATCGAGAGGTGAACTGGCTATCTGGCCATCTGCTACCATAAGACATTTCCTGGCATCCATTTCCTACAACACATGTATTCCCATATGTGCTCTTGGAACCCAGCTCCTGGCATTAGAAGTTCAACTAGAGTCTTCTCTGTGTGCTTACAATAGGGAAACCAAATAGCTTTCCTCTGAAGAGACAAACCCTGGTGACTGTCTGTGTTTGTTAGAGTGATATGTCTAAAATCTTGAGTTTGCATCCAAATTTAGTAGAAAAGAATGCTAGCATTAATTAGTTACACCTTCCAAGAGGCAAGAGTGGTCATATACTTACTTCGTATCTGCTTTCCCTGTGTAGAGTATCATATATTATATGATTTACCAAATGGAGGAAATGAGGATCTTTTATTATTATTTATTTATTTATTTATTTATTTATTTATTTATTTGTTTGTAGAGGGCAGTGTCACTGGCCCTCATATGTGGGATCTGAACCGAGGCCCTCTGGCATCCCAAGCCAGTTCTTAACCATCGCACCACTCGGCTGGCCCTGGAAATGAGGATCTTTTAATGCTACCCTTTTCTAATTTTACTGTGTATTTTTTTAAAGATGTGTATTGAAATATTAAAATCTTGCAGATTGTTTGTAAGATACAATTGAAAATTATGACTCATTGCTTACTTGAAGTTTTTACCGCAA